GCAGTGATGTGATAAAATCCATTATGGAAAAATGGAATGAGTGCCAGGATTTCTTTGAGAAACACCACCCCAACATAACTGTAACGAACAGAGTGTTGAATCTGATGAACAATAACGTCGTCTCTCATTTCTGGAGGGTTATGCAGTGCAGGAAAAAGCAAGTGACATTAGACAGATTTTTCGCCAAAACTGAGCCTGCAGCTAAGAAACAAAGAAGAGAGGAAACCCCTGAAGGAGATCTCCCTGCTGTCCTTATAGAGGGGGACTCTCCCTCCAAACAATAACCGCCTCCCCACCCACCTTCCTGTTCTCCACGCCAGAAGTCATCTCAAGCAAGGTTAGTGTTCTCTTGCTTCATACTGTGCTGTGCTGTACTTTGTTTCATATTTTTGTGGTTAAAAAAAAAAATACATATACGGTTCAGAATGGATTAACCTTATTTACATTGAACCTTATGGGGAAATTTGATTTGGTTCGCGACCGATTCGGTTCGCAACCAGAATCGTGGGACGAATTAAGTTTGTGAACCGAGGTATGTCTGTTACAACTAAGTTGTACTTCCTTTGCCTTTGTAAACAATGGAATGCATTGCAATATACGCCCTGCTATGGAGAGGGAAAGTGAAAACAAAATGCAAAATAGAATACGATAAGCAGCGGTGAGCACAGAAGAACTTGAAAGCCAATTTGAGAAATCCATCCTCCTTAAGTTTCTCCGTACTTGCTACTGCCATTGGCTTCTTGCTTTGCATGCCAATTTATTTTCATATCAATCTGTGAGCATTTGGTGGCTGGAGTCCAGTCTTTATTCCAAGTTGCATATGCTTCATACCATGTTTGGATGTGGCCTGTGGACTTCCCAAATTAACCATGGTCAGAATAGTGATTAGGGTAAAATAAATATGCAAGTTTCTAACCCAAATCACTCTGCATTGAGGGGGCAGCTGGGGAAGAAAAAGCTAACCCTTCCTCATATCCTGTGATTTCCACAAGCAGTAACTGAGCTTTAGAGTGAAAAGCCAGTGCTGGGCCATAAGGAGAGTTGGTCAAAAGAGAAGTGATAAGCAGGAAAAGAGAGGTGGACAGTGGTGGCCACACCAGCTGTGAATTAAGAGCTGAGGTCCATCACGTTGGGAGAGCAGAGGCTGGAGAGAACTGCCTTAGGGCACAAGAAGTTCATTGGAGAAAAATTCTACAATGTTGAGCTGTCCTTCTGTCAACAGAAAAGTTCCTTCCCTGATAATTTCCCTGCTATTCTTGAGAGTCTCCCAAGCTTCCAGAACAAATTTTCAAAAAATAATTGGGGGAGTCAGTGAGCATTTCCTCCTGCTTTCAGCAATGTCAGGATCCCATGAGCAGAGTTCTGCTTATAGAATCAAAGATTGATCATCTCATATGTGTGTGTGTGTATGCATACATATATGTGTATTTATACACACACAACCATATATGTGTCTGTTTGTATATATAGCACATCTAGAAAGCCCTACTATATTTTTAAGTATAGAATTACTTGTAACACCCAGGTGGAGTTACACAAAGGAAGCACTCAGCTCAGAATTACCTTTTCAAGGCAGAATGTTAGGACTGTACAGTGCTTCAAATGTAAAGGCAGAAAATTGCTTTCTGGTGAGTGTGAATGTTGTATAGTACCTATCTGCAACTTCTTGACTGCCACTGCATGTTTTCCTAGTCTGCTCTCGACAGCTGCAGTGCAATTCTGGAAAAAACCTTGTTTGGTTTAAAGATTGGCAAACAGACACTTCGCATGTACCCTTTGTGCCCATCTTTGCCTTTGAATCTGAAGAACTGCCCAGCCCTCCAAAATGCAAGGCTTCTCCCAAGGCCCAGGTTTTAGGAAGGAGTCTGAGAAGCCATCATTCCTAGCTCTTTTCTGCCACACAGAGGCAGAACTAATTAGACAGTGCAAAGACGGAGAAATGCTGTGCTGATGATTTAGAGCAAGATGCTTCATTCATGATGTTGTTTTTGCAGGCCTCTAACAAGTACAGAATGCAAAGCAATCCTTTAGGAGTGTGCCTGATTATTGACTGCATTGGCAATGATGCAGGTAAGTGCAGGGGAAATCAAGTTGTTCCTTCCTGCCAGACATTAGTGTACTACATTCAGATAGGCAGGCATGTGCTCCTGTCACTTCAGTATGCATAATTTCTCACAAAACTATGGTGTCTAAAAATAAGTAGTAGGGATGTGCAAAACATACTATTCTGGGGAACAGGGGAACATTTTGTTTTCCTTCTAGTTCTTGAACCTCTGCTGTTGACAGACAGCTACCAATCTCATTGGTATCAAATTTGTATGGAGGAATTATGTAGTCTTGTGCCCATCTTTCAATATATAGACCAATTAACCCTTGTGGAAGCCAAATCAATGATAAAGGTATAAATTAGGGACGTTGGTTGTTAGAATGATCTTACCAGTCTTCCTGAATTTTATTGCGAAATGTTAGAGTGCTGTAAGCCCTCGATTATGGGGTACAGGTAGTCCTTAACTTACAACCACAATTGGGACTGGAACTTCTGTCGCTAAGCTATGCAGTCATTAAGTGAGCCGCGCCCGATTTTACAACCTTTTTTTGCCGCAGTCGTTAAGCAAATCTGGCTTCCCCCATTGACTTTGCCTGTCAGAAGCCTCCTGGGAAGGTTGCAAATGGCAAAAACATGACCTCAGGATGCTGCAACCATCGTAAATACAGTACTGTGCAAAAGTTTTAGGCAGGTGTGAAAAAATGCTGTAAAGTAAGAATGCTTCCAAAAAT